AGAGTCCTTCTGTCCTGGTAGGCATCACGCAACCTTTGGGGTTCTCTCTCCCAGTCCGTTTTAATCCTTTCAATATTAGTCCCCGGTATATTTGTAGTTGCGGGGACATCGTTAACCGTTTCTTTTCGTGTATCTGCTATTGATGAAGCATATCACCAATTTGGTCGCATACTTAGCACCCATTTGGAGTGATGTTGGGGTATCTCATATCCTGTTTCCGTAATTCTTTTTTCCATTTCTCTATTTTCATATTTCCCTCCTACTTTTCCAGCTCCGCAAGCAGGAACTTGAGTTAAAACATTAGAAAACGTAACACAAGTAGCAAAAAAGGGTTTGTGGTCTGGATATTTTTTCTTCCTGCAATGAGAAATCCAGCCAATCAATGATTTCCTGAGCTGATATGGGACAGTGTAATTGTACAGTCAAGACGGACAGCTCATTACGTGTATCGGATACCAGTCATTCTTTCGAATGTGAAAGATTTCATATGCACTTGTTCATTTTCCGATGTCCTTGAAGACAAGGAGAGGAAAACATTGCATGGCGCTTATGATGACGAATGTCTAGTTAGAAATTAGCAGAAATGTATGGGAAATGGTAAAATCGCGTATGAGCGAGAGTTTATATGAATATCATGTCACTCATTATATGGATTTTCTGATAAAGGGTCCGGCAGGGATATTTCCAGATATCACAGCAGTGAAACAATTGTGCTTTTTTTTTATATATATATATAACATTCTAGCCAAGTTAGAATGTACGACGTGTTCGGCCCTAGGCCACACATACATAGGTATCTAGACACTTAGCTTCACATATCGACACTAAGAGCCCCAGGAAAAGATTTCTCCAGCTCTGTAACCACATGCAATCAAGATGATGTGCTGGTATACATAATAATGTATGTAAGTCTCTACCTACCGTATGGCTCTGTACTGCACTGTAGTTGCTCCGTATACGGACAAGAATCCTTGGTTGCATTTGCTGTGATGTTACATGCGGAGTGGTTGCTTCTCACCAAGGAGCTCTCGGATGTTCTTATCGGGAGGAGGATTTCTCAGCTCCTGTTCCGCTCCGCCCTTCCTTGACGTGTCACAGAGGTGGCAGATATTCCGGCAAGAAGGGGTATAAGATTATAAGATTGAGGGAATCGTCTAGCCTTTCCAGCCAACTGGAAAGTGTAGAGCATGTGCTATTATTCATAGTTTTTTTTCCTCTTTTCTTTTCTTTTCTCTTTTTTTTTTTTTGACGTGGATGATTTGGGAACGGAGGGAGTTCACCCAGATTTAAACTGGAAAATGAAAAGGTATCAAGAGCTGAAGCAAAACGAAATATATTAGATTGAAAAGCATAAGAAATATGCAGAGAAATCAATCCGTGACCTTGGAGCTAGCTGTTCAGTTCGTACCCTGCTCTGTATTCAGAGTTTGGCGATGGTTTGGAAAGTTGCAAGAAGACATGCCAAGGCCCGAAAAGCTTTTGACACGTGATGCATTAACCCTAAAATAGCTCGCTAACTTGACAGGGGAGACAGAGGCTGAAACATGGAACATCAAAACTCACGACGTTCGGTGATGACCGCATCGATTGCTGGGTATATGCATAATCGAGTCTCCTCTGCTTAGAATGCTGGTACTGTTCATGTTTCCATAGCTGTGATTGTGTCATTCCAAAAATGAATGATGTGTGTGGTCTGGACCCCACGGCAAGCGGAAAAGCTTCATGAGAGGGTTAACAAAGTCCAGACCGCAATTTTATGTTTCCTGTGACCGAGCAGGGTCTGGAACTCGGATCACTGTCAAGAAAATTACCTTTCCTGGGCTTCATTGAACTTGCAACCTTGGCCATTTGGCTGTACTTCTACAAGGAAGTCATATAAGTCATATCTTCAAGGCACTCCTACCGACGATTTATGTCTAAGTTGGAAAATTATCTGGTCATCGCCCAGAGCGGAGTGCATATCATGGAAAACTGCCAATCCGGTTTTGCTCGAAGGCGACGTTAGCCATGCTCACCTAGAGCAGTAATGGTCGTCTACACCAACGAGAGATGTTCTTCGACCAATTATAGAATACTTGCGGGAAAAGCAAGTATGTTTGTTTTAGGATTCGATGTGAGGCAGCACGTGGGATATTCATGTTTGAGGGTTGGAGATCTCCGGTTTCAATCCCTCCTCACGAGCGACACACTTTCCTATCGAGTGGGTATGTTGATCAGACTGAAACTGGTTTTTACCCCTCCTAACTGCTCTTGTTAGTCTCAGAGGGGAAAGAGATGAAAACAAAAAGCACACTATCGAACCTCTCGATCGCGACTCTATTGAATACCCCCGTCGCTATAGGTATAGCTGATATACCGGATATAAGTGTTTTTTCCCGATCTCCAAGAAAGCATCTCCGAGACATTTAGCAGTCCAGATGTTGTTTTAGAACAACGGGTTGTGTTTTTTTTTTTTTTTTTTTTTTTTTTTTTTTGACTGATGAAAAGCTTGAGATTGGGCTTCCAGCTCACTGCAGAAACTCTAATTGCTTTTATAGATAAGTGTCATGCACCTAGTAAGCAGAGCAACTCCGAAGTTTGTTCCGGCCTTCATGGGTCTGCCAAGTTTCCGATAACTCGGGATAGCAACACTCGTGTCAGCTCGTGAGGCCAATCGGTGAAAAAGTATCTCTCTTCTCTTATTCTTTTCTTATTATTTGGCTACTCACGACAACGAGTTTCTCGATACAACTGGTTGAACGAGAACTGTCCATCGAAGGGTTAACAATGAATCTAAAGAAAATTTATGAGACGGCGCTGAACTAAAAAGAAGGACGTTTACTGGATTTTTGAACACTTGTTGTCGTAAGAAGCAAGGTGAACGTTCGTTTCTTCAATTATACGGGCTGCATGTGATTTGCCCAGTAGGTAAGCCGAAGCCGACTTAGTCGCCTGAAAAGATGTGGTTCTTCGGAACAATATCATTGAATTTAGGAGATGTGGTTTTTATTTCGCATGGACTAGATTTCCAAATGTGTTGGGAAGTAGTCTCTGTCTAGCGCACTCTCTGCGGGCCATATCTTGATTACCCCTCACGCTACCCCAGACCTGCGGACGTGATGACAGCCAAGGCGTACCTAGATGGTTTAGTCAAGCGGTAGGTGGTGATTGGATGAGTTTATGAAGACCTCAGATGCATACCCGGACCCATTCTTGAATATCTGAATATGGTCTTCTCCAGCAAACTTTTGAAACTGCCTTGAACCCGTCCGGACATACCAAACTGATCTGGCATACATTCCGTTCAAACAGCAGGAAATCCTGAGCAGATAATATGACATGTCTACGTGAGGCAGCAGTTGAAACCCACCCCACCAAACGTGTTCTTTTTGATTTCGATATCGGGTTTCCGGGTTTCTTACGGATCCGTCAATGTTTGAACTTGGTGTCGCATGGCACCCCTGTAGAAATAAATGGTCAACTATTTCAGCCCGCACGGCACGATGGGTTCTGTTCTAACTTGTTCTGGTCAGCATAACTAGATGTCAATGCAGAAAATAGGACTACGGGGCTCAAAAGACTCAAGGTGAAACCTCTTCCAAGGTTCCAAATAGAAACGATCTTGGTGACAGACCCAGTTGAAACGGTCGTTTGACGTTGCCAGAACCATTGGCAGCGCGCCAAGCCCCAGCGCCAAGCTGACTAACCACCCCCTTTTTTAAGCGGAACTGGAAACGTCAGGCCTTCAACCAGCCGCAAAATATACCTACCCCTCGGGATGAACAATGGGCAATCGGGGGACTGAGATAATGATAGTATCGGGACTGCGATGTTCAGGCGCTGTGTAACTGATAGTGGTTTATGACAGCTTGTGCTTTCGGGTGTTGTCAGCTTATTCCCCGCCCGTTACCAATCCCGCCATTTCCGATTGTGCTATCTTCAAAGTCACCGATATCACGACTCCGCTCCGGATGACTACAGCCAGCCATTAAGCTGTGTGCTGTGTACACGCTTTCTTGAGAGTGTATTTTATTCTGCTGAATTTGAGGTTGAAACGACTTCGATCTAGGATTCCGATCTAACTTGAAGCTACATTTTGTGTTTGTGACCGTCGTCTCCAAGTTCCTTAGAACTCCATTCTCACAGTCCTCCTTTCAACCTTGCTTGAGTATGTGTTGAACCCATTATATGGACAAACTTCTTTTTCCTTTTTCGTTTTTCTTTTTTGAAACAGGCGATTATTGCTCAGCAATTCGTCCTATGCCTCTTCTGGAAACAGGGCTGTTCTGTTCTGAGAACTGACACCCGCTGAGTTTTGCCATTTGTGATCGACCCTGGCACTCAAACCAGCGAACCTGTTTTGGTGCCGCATATTTGTCTCTAGATGGAATTATGTCTTCGTTAGGAAATTCCTGCTAGGCCCTTTCAAGCTACGATTTCATGCAATCCCATCATTTCCTGGGAAAGATCGGAACCGTACTTGTCACATATCGACCGTATCCAAGAAAAGGATAACCCCCTCCTCTACCATTGCACATGGATTTAGAAACGGCTCAGGCACCAGCCATCGCCACTCGAATGCTTATGCGCTACACTCTCCAGCTCCGGGAAATGTTTGTAGCACAGACACAACTTTGATATATATATGAGAGAGATAAATGAGTCCATGCCATGTTTTTGTTCCCAGTTTGTTCTGTCAGGAGTATTTCAGCGCGTCGATGTGATTGATATCAGTCTTTTATTCTCCTCGAATCTGTTTTCTTTCCTTAATATCCCACTGGTTGGGCTAGTTACATTCTTTGATATATATTTACTTAACAGCACTCTACAACCCCTCTTAAACACTCCATAATTCCACTGCCTCCATTGAACAACTTCTTTTATTAAGAACTGGCAGTGATTATTGTAGTTTCGTTGTTTCCAAAATCCAATTAACAGTGTCATTCCATTTTCCATTTTCCTTTAAATATCTTTATTTTTTCTTTTCTTTTTTTTTTTTGGAAGTTCGATTTTAAAACACCATGAGTCCAACTATCCGTTCTACTTCCATACCTACGGAGGCTCGTGAGTATCGATCCACGACGCCCCTTCATATGGATCGTATGGATCACGGCATCCAAAAGCACCGAAGGATGTCATCCACTGGTGGAGGCAGAGCGTGGACTGAGGAAGAGGTACTCACATTCCACGTCCATCTTTGAACGTACGTATATAGCTCTAAGGGAAACTAACTTTCTGATATAGGAATCTTACCTCCTAAGAACTCGCATGCACAAGATGCCTTACAAACATATTGCGGCACACTTGAACAAAACTGAACTTGCTTGTCGCCTCCACTATCACCAGATGTCATATGGCAGCAACCGACGGCGACGCACAGATTCTGTGTCCTCCATTAGTTCGTTTCCCGGGCTGCCAACAACACAGGAATGCCCCATCGACTACAAATCGTCAGCACGCATGACCACCCCACGACTTACCCCTAGTCCTGAATCAATGATCAATTCACCAACATCTTCTGTAACCGATTCTCCCCAACAATCTCGCTCACATGTGCCTATTCTCCCGAAACCAAATATCTCACCACGCCACTCCATGTACTCTATACCCGCAGACCTATCTAGATCACTCCGATTGGATACCTCGTTTGTCCATCACAGCGACTCTCGTTCCGCCCCTTTCGATCACTCAGACGACATTGACACCGTCCGGCTCCGTGCGCTATATGATACCTACCGTGGATCATTCTGGTCTCAAATTGCTTCAGAGTACTCCAAAGAGCGTAGTTTCTCGGCAAGCAAACTTGAATTGTCATTTTTCCACGGAATATTTAAATCCTATAGCGGCCGTGTTGCGTCTCCACCAACCCCTGGCCTCAGCCCGCAAAATGAAATCTGTGAACTCCAGAAGGAAGCACTCAGCGCTCCTGAACTTTCATCTGATGGTGGATTCCATGCCATCAACGGACCGGCCCCATCGGCGGTTGCAGAACTCAACACTGCTATCAATGTTCCTAGCCCGGTCGAGAAATGCGCCGTGGCATCATTGCTGACCGTCGAACGGGACGTGTGGGCTGCGAAAAGAATCACGACTGCATAAGCCATTACCTTCGAACACTGCATCTATGGAAGTTGGAAACGATGTATAAGACTTCTGGTACGTCTTAGAACGTTCAAGCATCCGTAACAGCAACAGTATGGACAAGGGGCCCGGATTCGCGTTTTACTTTCCTTTTTCCACATTTAATTCCCTGCCCATGCCATATCAATATCCCGCTTCCATCTCATCTTCCTCCTTTTCCTGTACAATGACAAATTCCTTTACGCTGCCTGATGTACATTTTCTGATTTTCTCCCCTTATTGTTTACGGGATCCTGGTTGGTGTTTTTGAATCTCTCTTTTTCTTTACTCCTATCCGGCCAATCTTGTTTTGGTTTGTGGTTTGGTGAAGGAGTATGGCGAACACTCTCGTTTTGCTTAATACTATGACTTTCGTTTTGCCTTCACAGTATGAGCTCTTTTTGAGGGATAACTATATATTGATTGTTCTTCCTCGTCTTTCTCTCCTTTTTGTTACCCGGTAGGATATTGTGGTTTCTAGGATTCAAAGGGAATCTTGATTTTTTTTTCTTTTTCTTTCTTGCTTCTTTTCTTATCCTTTGGCTTTATCAACAAGATGTTTGATGAAACGGAATGTGATTATGGCAATGACAGAGGAGGTCGAGCAACAGCACACAAATGCAATGCATCTGGAGCATATAGTTGTAAAAGAAGAACACAAATGAACATAGAAAACATGGATATGAAATATACCCTTTTCTTGCCCGTCGATCAAGCAGTGTCTGCATGGCTTTCCTTTGGGTAACAGCGACGGAGATCGACTGCGGAAAGAAAAGGAAAAACGTTTTAATTGTTCGAGATGAAATGAAGGAATGCAAGACTTTTTGTATCTTGAAACTTGGTTCATGATCAATCTCTCGTTTCGATTTGACGCAAATCAACTTCGAGTGTCACAAGGCTCCCAAAGATATTTCTAGGATTGTCCTTGGGCAGTTATCCGTAATTAACATGCCAATAATACATGAAGAATGCAAAGGGTTGCAGACATGCTGCAGGCCGCAGGACACGGATCAAGTAATCAATTTGGCATCGCAATAAGGTAGCTACACAGCCTGCGATTTGACAAGAAGTCTCCAAGGATGTTCCAGACAAAGTCACACCTGGACAATCCCGAAAGCCCCGAATGCACAAAAGTACGTAACAACTGTCTCTAGTTGGTTAAATCGCTAACTGACAAGCCTGAAGATCAAGCATTAAGTACCTCACCGCATCCCGATGATTGTTGGTTTGAGTGGTTACCAACTTATTCTTCCTGTTCAAATAATTATCGATTCGGAATAGTGAACATTGAAGATATCAATCACCTGAATATGTGTGCCCTTGCCCATGCCTTGAATCAGTAATCCGTAACATAGAATCAGTTGCATCGGATGGTGAGGATGATCGAACCTTGGAATGCCGGAAGCAAACCACTTACTAATAGCTCGTTGTGCTCACATTTTCTCCGACTTCCAGCCCATCATCTTTGCTCTCTAAGCGCCTGGTGCCAATAGTTCTCTACTTGAAACAATCTCTTTGAACATCCCAATCCATTCTCATAAAGAAACTCTGCTCTCGCTTGCCATTGTGTGCGTTTATGATACGTACAACTTGCAGGTTTCTGGTCACGAAATCGGGATGGCCTGGC